CGATCGATCCGCTATTACTACTGTAATAAGGAGAGCCAGTGACCTCTCGAACTTTCTGTAGGACCATCCTTATCTTCAGCTATTTTTTTAGCTTTCATTATTATTATTACAGACCCAGTTGCCAAAACTTACACTACCGAGATATAAGGGGGAAAGAATCGAACTATTTTCTTCTATGAGTTTACTTCCTGGCAATAAAGGTACATACTACTACACTATATGGACGCACTACATATTAGTGAGTGCTTTATCAAGGTCTTAATCTGAAGTGCAATTCGTGAAGTGATTTTCATATCACTGAGTAGCTTTTCGAAAAATATTTTCTACAGTAGTTTTAGTTTTGAAATATTTGCTTTATATGGCTTTATATGGCTTTATATGAAGAAAGTGTGACTTATTCTCCTGTGCTTTTGTGTGAGATCGAAAGCTAACCATGAAGCCCGAGAACCAAGACGAGTGACTGTTTCTTACAAGAAAAGTCCTTCAGGGCGTGGGGTGCTTTTGAAAACGGTTTTTCGCATGATGTAGGGGATGAGCACTGAGTACAGAACTATGGCCCATTTCCGCTAAATGGCCTTCTGACGGCCAAAAAAGGAGTGAAAATGTTTTTGTCAGAAATTGCCATTTTAACCCACTGAACGTCGTTTGTTTCATTCATGGCGTCGACTGTCAGCCCAGTAGAAGGCGCCAGAGGACTGCGCATTGAAAATAAAAAAGGGGGCCACATGTTGAAACATGTCGAAAGTGCGGGAGGTTTCATATGCGCTCTCCACCGTGGAGCTGCCAGCAGCGACGAGTGGTGTGGTGGATAGCGATGTGGGCTTCGAGTTGGGACGGCTAGGTTGGGGTGATGTTTCGAATCCTCGGGGCTTTCTCGTCTTTGCATTTTATGCTGCCACCTCCAGATTGGCTCCATATTGCATCAGGGCCAAAGCAAGTGCTAAACTGGTCATGGTCGTGACCAGGACCTGAATTCTACTGATATTGACTGGGACGGAATGTACCGCCGATCACTAGTGGGATTGCTACTTCGCGAATGCGTGGTAGTACGGTGGTATATTCCGTCACCAACCCATCCGCCAAGTTCCTCGTCCGCTGGACTGCTTTTGCCTTCGTAACAAAATTATTCTTAAGGTTGACCTCAATCATCGTTCTCATTCCCATAAGGGCATAGGAAAACGTTGGGATTTTGCTTTTTCTACTAGATCGATCGAGTGGAAAGATAGATGTAAGTGAGAAAATAAATTTTATTTGATGAGACCATGTAAATCAAGTGCTGAGCAATCAATCTGTAGTCGAATCTAGTGCCGATTTCCCATCTCACAGATTCCTTGCTCTTATCGAGATCACTAGTACATACATACCTGTGGATGACATACATTTCAATAGAAAACAAGTTACGCTGAATTTTGAAACGGGGCGATATTGTGGGTAGGAAGTCAATCGACTGTACTTACTACCCTTTCCTTAACTTCTGCCCACGCTAATGATCAGCAGACGTCGCTATCAAAGCAGTAATCAGCAATGCAGCTAACATTCCCTCTTATTTGATGAGATCGCTATATAATCCAATACTCATTAACGTGTTTGAAACCGGTATTCGAAAACTCGAATCTATTTTTATCGCTATTTCACCCTGCAACGAAATTTCCAGCCTTAAGAAACTTTGATTGCTCCGTAATTTGTACTTGCTTTCTAGAGATTTCACTTGGTTGTGAAATTGAAATGTTGTGATGATGGTTGTGAAAATCACCACAAAAGTCGTATTGCTGAGCTTTACGAAAAAGATGAGTATCTCAACAAATCCTCAACCATAAGGCATTCATGTTTGAGGGAGGACAGAGGCATGATGTATACCATACCAGTCGGCCTGTGCGCAATACCGCGCGCGTCTCATGGCTCCTGATATATTGATTGCCTTGAAGATAATCTGAAGCGTAATAGTCTTAGCAACACAGTAACCACCCTCTCCTGAAAAAATGAACAGTACCGTCCTTCCACCCCGACCAATAGCGGCATAAGCCGTTTATTTAGGGCACCCATTTCTAGCAAACTATTTTTGGCAACCATTAAAATTCGTTTATCCATATACTAACCAAAACAATCAAGAGAGGACCTTGAAGTCATTCAGTTTCTTGTTTATCCTCACTATTGGGAAGGCATGTACTCCACTTGAGACGAAATGTGAACTTCTTTGCACTCTGGTCATTTTTCTGCACCCGTCGCTGTAGGCATTCGATAGCATATCAATCGGCGATCTATTTGGCCAATATAGATGGATGAAATTTTCGCAAAATTTGAATACTCTAGGCCCAGGAAAAGAGGAGTTACAGATTATTGGTAAACTACACTTTTTGCGCAAGCCCCGCCCCTGGTGGGGCTTGCGCAAAATGTGTAACCCCCTGGTAGCTTAAGTCACGAATAGCGAAGGAGTCCGGCTCGTTCTCCACCCGTTCCAACGTGTCTGAGCTGTACCAGTTGATTTCTAAACTCCGTCACATATGATAGTTACAGACCAACAGACAAACAGAAAAACAGACAAACCGACAAACGGACATTTCATGTTTTATACTTAGTAAGGATTTTGGCAGCTGTGCACTTTCCAACGCTAGCACATTTAAAGTAAGAAGTCGAATCGGTATCGTATCCTAGCATTTCATAGTTATTCAGGTTGCTGTCAGGGAAACAATTGCTAACTCACAGTAATATCATCGACATCTTATTTTTATGCACGTTAGCAGCTTTGCACTTTCTAACGCTAGCACAACTGAAAAAATAGAGATTGAATCGGTGGCGTATCCTAATATTTCACAGGTCTAGGTTTCTGTCAGGAAAAGTGTGGATAAATAACAATCCTTTCATCTGCCCCCAATTTTTATGCATTGTGGCAGCTTCTCTGCAAAAATTCAGCGCCTCAGGTCCAAATTAGATATTTTTGCGGAAGTCCCGCACACAGTGGGCGGAGCCTCTGCATCTGCATCTGTCTCCTACCATTGCTTTCCCCATCTTGCCACCTACGTCTCTATCAAATTTGAACGACCCAGGTCCAAATCAAATATTTTTGAGGAAGTCCCGCCCCCAGTGGGCGTAGTCTACACCTGTCACCCACCATTAGTTTCCCCATCTTGCCACCTGCATCTCTGCCAAATTTGAATACCCTAGGCTCAGAAGCAAAGGAGTTACAGATTTCCGGTGAACCACACCATTCGCGCAAGCTCCGCCCCTAGCGGGCGGAGCCTAGCTTAGGTCACGTGTACCCAAGGAGCCCGGCTCATTCTCACTTGTTCCAACCTGTCTGAGCTGTTCCAGTTGATTTTCAAACGGAGCGATTGATACAGTTACAGACAAACAGACACACAAACAGAAAAGCAGACAAACAGACAAACGAACAAACAGACAAACGGACATTTGCGGTTTATATATAGTAGGGATTCTCACTGATGGCAAGAATGGAAAACCATCAGCTGAACAGATTTGCTCACGTAGAATCATAAAAATCACTGCTTAGCTAATATTATGCACGACCAATCGATGCGGCATTTCTCAGCTTCTTTCTAACCAACTGGACCTTGTGGGCATCTTCTGATAGATTCGGTTCCAGGGATTGGAAGTTTTCCACTGTTATTGGACCTGGGACCTAGAGCGTGTGGATTAGCCCTTCGCTAGACTGTCTGGCATTGAAACCACTCAAAATTTGTACTCAGAAGGGGCGAGTGAAGAGATGACCAATCCCTTTCATGAATTTCAACTACACTGATTACATCTTTTGAACTGCTTAATCGGTTGCCAAGGTATGAACAAGTCAACTTATCACTGTTTCTTCGAGAAGAACTTTGTTATGAAAGCAAAAAGAGACCAGCGGACGAGGAACTTGGAAGGTTGGTAACGGAATATACCCACGTACTACCGCGCATTCGCGGAGTAGCAATCCCCCTAGTGATCAGCGGTACAATCCGTCCCAGTCAATATCAGTAGAATTCAGGTTCTGGTCACGACCATGACCAGTTTAGCACTTGCTTTGGCCCTGGTGCAATATGGAGCCAATCTGGAGGTGGCAGCATGAAATGCAAAAACGGGAAAGCCCATTTGAACCATCACCCCAACCTAGCAGTCCCAACTCGAAGTCCATATCCACCACACCATCCGTCGCTGCTGGCAGGACAACGGTGGAAGCACATATGAAAACTTCCCGCACTTTCGACATGTTTCAATATGTGGGCCCCTTTTTTGGCCACCGTTGAAATGGCAATTTCTGCCAAAAACATTTTCACTTTTTTTTCGCCGTCAGAAGGCCATTTAGCGGAAATGGGCCATAGTTCTGTACTCAGTGCTCATGCCCCTACATCAAGCAAAAAACCGTTTTCAAAAAGCTCCCCACGCTCTGAAAGACCTTCCTTGTCAGAGCCGTGGTTTTTTACAGGAGCTTGGTATGAATACTTTCGACTGAGGGTGTAACCTCTTTCTGTATATCGAAAATCTCACTTAAAAAAAAGCAGGGAAACGTATGGCCGCTGTGAAAATATGTCACGTAACGGGATTGGCATTCTTCTCCTCATACATAGATAGATTATTCTTTTTACTATTATGTAATATATACAGCTAGCACAATACCTCTTAGAATTAGTAAAACAATACGAAAACGATTAATGTGGGCATTATTAGCAACTAATCACCACTTTTTCGAGCTATGATTCGCGAACTCTATTCAAAGTTGCATCGCCTGGCTCGCACAGTGAGGGAGGATCAAACCATGTTGTATTTGGAGCAGCGGGCAACATACTGTCGTACCAGTATGATGTTTGGTACAGATCCGTCGAAGTCACAGACGTGAAGTAAGTATCCCATCCAAGGAGCGCTCCTGCAATCCAATTTAAACAAAATTTTGTTGTTTAATCTTAGTTTTATTCTCGCTAGATTACAAGGGATATAGAGGAGAAGAGGAGTTTCAACTAGGAGAGGAAGGTAAGAATGAAGTTTATAAGCAAAATAAATGCGAAAAAAAGTGGATTGAGTAATAGACGGAGAACTGTGGTATTATTTTACTATCACTTGAAAAACTTAAACAAGAGGTGTTTCTTTACATTGAAACAATTTCCATCTACTTCGACACATCGGACAAGCTAGAGAAACGCGTTAATTGTAGTGAGGAGGTAGTTGGCGTTCTCGTTATTATATGGGTGAATTTTTGTACATGCCTTATACTCGAGGATACCCCATACAAAGGAATCACGCGGATCAATGTCTAACAGATTGAAAGGCTATTCATCAGAAACGAGGAGACCTGGAAATTATGGTTGCATCGTGCCTGGACAATCTCGACCTTGTGGGCAGGAGCATTGTTTTGTTGGTACCATCAATATTTGTTCCCATCCAAAAACCATTAAAGATTTTGGATACCAGAACGTGTGACTGCCACGTGTGGCTTCGATCTTGTATGAAACGATCAGACCGCCTGTTGAAACACTGTTCGATAGTCTCATCAGTCAATAAGAAGCTCCAGGTTCACCGATGTAGTCGTTAGAGAAGCTTCTGCAATGTCTCCTTCCTCTTCTTTGTAGTCACCGGGAGGTATCTGGTTTTTTCTTCCTCTTCAACCGATTTCTTATAATCCTGCTTATCGGTCTCGTATAAATTGTCTTTTCCTGTGTCATTTCTGTACCGATACCACACCTCTTGACAGATCAAACACCGAGAGATATCGATCGCTCTAAATCTAAAAGATGCAGACCCAGTTCTGAACTGTGGTGAAGCAATGGCTTCATTGTTAAGGAAAACCCCGAAGTTTTCGCGGTATTTGGTAGATATGTCCGCCTTGAATTAGATAGAAAAAAGCTTAGAAAAAATAGAAAAGCCAAAAAAGAAAGGCCTCAGGCTGTTCAAAATCACGCGCTATCGCTTTGCCTCCAATATTTTCCTTCACTCTGTATATTAATCTTATCAATGCAGTATTACTATTGCAACGTTAAAGGCACAGTTCACGATAGTTTTAGGTAATCCAGATTATGACGAAAAATGGAAAATAGTGCGGTGAAGGCGAAGGAATGTGTGAATAGGTGTTTTCAGAGTGAAAAAAGGGCTTCGAAAAAATAGTAGAAAAGGGCTGGATTGCAAAATCATTCACTTATAATCATAAGTTAACAAAAAACCCCAGTAACAGCAAAAATAGCTCACTATTTTCGCCTCCTCGGGTAGGAAATTAAAGAAGAGGTTGCAGCAGCAAAAGAATAATAGAGGAAAAAGAATGGGAGAAAAACATCGCCTCATCACTCGGCAACCAGTTGATTGTGTGTGGGTCCTAGAACGAATTTTGAAATCTATATCGCCTCGACACCCGCTTGACGTGACATCGATCGAAGGGCGGGAGGTCCGGGCGATCCGCTAACGGGACTCCCACCATGCCCTAGCGTTGAGGTTTGGGACTCGACAGCGTCTTTCCTGTTACCCTCGGGGGCCACTGGGTATTCTAGAGGGAGAACTCAGAAACCATTTTTATCGTGAACTGTGCCTTTAAGCGCAATGGTTTCAGCTGAACAGATTATTTCTACCGTCAGTGGAAGGTTTCGTTACCTCAATATTAATTGATTACTGTGGCAGTATAGAGAAAGGTAGATCGCAATGCTAACCATTTGCTGCATCTGCATAAGCCGTGAGGAGGAAAGCCGTCTGTAACGATCCTTCCAGTATAACGTTGTCCGGATCGCCATCGTATATGAATACTTCCTTGTGATGATGGGTTTGTTCCTGAGAGCATGAGCTGGGTGACAAATTCCATGTAGTCTTCCGTACTTTACCAAAATAATAAAAGCATAACTCGTACGATTGCAGAGTGCTGTCTTGATAGCCTATTCAATCCGAGACGGTTGATGTAACTTGTATATGTGGTTGATGAGTCGAAATCACAACGCTAAATCATAATAGAATAATTTTCAGCATTTCATTCAATGGAGAACTCACAGTGATATTTCCGCTTCCTCCATATCGAACCCAAAAAGAGAACTTGGGAAATGCGTAGATGGTTGTGTCTTCACTCACCTAGAAAAGTAACTGTATACCTCTCGCACATTACTCGCGTAGTCACTTCAACTTCTGCACAGCAATCTTTTACCAAAACTACCTATTTCAATGGATTACATCAAAGACCCTATTCTGAGAGTTTCCGTAAGTTGAGGTAAGCTAAACCCGTTCTGGAACTTGATCCGGATCAAATTCTTTTTGCTCTTCCACACGTTATCTTCATTAGACCAATTCAAAAAATTTGTAAAAGACATTTGTACCTGATGAACTAGACGTTGATTTGTATTATCCTGGTACCAAAACGATGGGTATACCAACGGAGTCTGAAGATCAGCAACTTCTTTGATATACTGGGAAAGAAAAATTAAGTACACAAAAGGGAAAACACAAAGACAAAGACAAGAATTAAAGAAAACTGCATGTACAATACTACAACATGTACTTCATAAACAGGACACTACAAAGTTATGCTGAAGCCCTGCTTGTGAATATATCAACTTTGGCAATCTGCCACAACTCTTCATTGGAAACCTGTGTATCATCACCACTGCTCACTAGTCGCCAGAGCCATGAAATATTCGTTGTAAAGTGATAAGACTCAACCACGATTTGGAGCAACAAGACGATACAGACGTTTTTTTAACTCCCGGAAATCAACATGACATCAAAAAAAAGTATCTTTCTTGTCAGGTCAGCCCATATGTAGTTGAACCTGTGCTAGGAGCACCCACCAAAAGTAAGTAGCAGCTTTTCGCATTCTTTCCTCAAAGAAATTTCGACGAGCAGTGCAAATCCAGACACATTTCAAGGCTCAAGCTTTCATGGGAGCTATTTTTGAAGGGTGTTAAGCCGATGCGAAATTTTTTTGGGACAACGCAGCTTTCTTGATGGTGCATGGACAATCAATGTTCAAATTTACGCCTTTGGGCTAGAAATATAGTAGTACGCTTCCAGGTTACATGCAAGTAATGAATCTGAAGTCGCATTTGATTGATGAGTTCAAATTTTACTCACTTGAAGTCCGCCCATGCTCGAGTCAGGCGTTCGGTAAATGACGGTATAAACACCTTCTTTTACTGAATATTCGTCCACTAAGATTGAAAAATTCACCGAGGCATTCCGTTCGTGAACTACGTTGATGCCTGCCTCACCTTAAAACACTTTTGCTTCAAATAGCTTATCATACAGCACCTAGTTTGGAAATTCACAGAACTGATGATGAAGCTTAGACAAGCATTCCAGATTTTGGGGCAAGGCACTGAAGGAGGGAAGTTAAGAAAAACCAGCTGATCTCGCCCCCGTGACCCTGTCGTCTATCCTTACTCAAGAATGTTTGAGAAGGAAGAGGCTTGTTTTAATGATGCGAAACATTTACGAAGAAGTCGTATGATCACACTACAGGTTATATATCTTCATAAAATACCCGAAACAAGAGAGCACCGAACTTTATTGTATTATGTTGCATATTTGTGTCACTATGAATCCGGCTCCCGTGCTCGCAGTTTTTAATGGGTGAAATTCTGGGATTTCTCAAACCATTAGAAGCGAAATTTTATAGAAAATTTCCAAATTCTGCGATAAGGTCTTCCGCTTTGATTAATTTTATCTAGAAACTTCGTAAAAGCAAACTAACTCACCATTCACAAATGACCAAACTAATGCACCAGCACAGGCACCGATAACAATTAGTGAAAGAAAAATGCGAAGAAAAAATCCACGAAGCCTTTGCGAACAATTAGCCACTTCGATGGTCTCTGTAGAACTGACGCTCATGACGTCCCAATCGTCAACATCCACCTTCTTCCTCACTCCGATTTCAAGCATTCTTCCATTTTGATCCATAACCTATTAAACCTTTGGAGGAGTACATAATTGGAGCGTCACGTAAAGACAACACATTTGACTTAAGTCTTTTCATGAATCAAGGTAATGAACAGAATCAAGGACTCATTTTAAATTTCTAGGAGATTCCCACTACCTACAGATGTATATGATTTCTTGATACCTTTTGATACTTGTGGCTTGTTTTGATCACTCACTTTCTTAGCCGCTATCCCATGGATAAGTATGACAACAAACTCGTCCCTTGGAACAGCTGGTCAGTTCTTTTTGATGAAGTTTATTATTATTTATAGAAGTCCTCTACGCCTTTACTGCAATGGAAAAGGCTGGAAAGAAACCGAGTAATCCACGAACGTTGCACTTTTATCTATGATACCTGAGACAATGATACATACCGACAATGATATGATACTTTGCAGACAATTGACTAATAAGGGGCTATGGCCACAGGCGAGTTGATGTGCATCTTTGTTTTTAGATGAAACGATTCGCAGCTGAGTAAGCCGTTTATACAATTTTAGCTCATCCACAGAAATACACTCCTTCGAATCAACCCTATGACCACATGTACTTAGTGTATAGAGAGATGCAGTCAATAATAAGTCACCGTCTCTCATTTACAACTTATTGATCCTTGGAACAAGTTTAGACCTTGGGACCTACTTCATGATGCTACGTCCTTAGTAGCTCATTCCCACTTCGGATCAATTCTCTTACGGTTCCTTCAGGTCTGGTATCTACTCCCCCCGAATAGTGTGTCGTGCTCGCCGCACGCGATCGCGCGTTGTGAAGGGAACGAATCAATTCACAGTGGAAGGATACCGAGAGTCGCCGCAGACTCACTGCCGCAGTGTGTTGGAATTCGGGGAAAAGTTTTGTCGTCTCGGTTCCTTTGGATGGGTGGCTAATCAGCTATCGAAACTAGGACTCGAGGGCTTCAATGTTGGCGGCATGTTTGTGACCAAATATGTCATCAACAGGAAAGTATTCTGGAATAACGCCAATCCCTGCTTCTATAGTTCCAGATATAGGCTAAATCAATTTCAGCACATTACATTCAGGTCCAGATCACAGCGGTATTGAGATTATTTGGGTAAAATATGACGAAAATCGTCACACAAAAAGAAGTTACGAATGGTAGAAAAAGGCAGGATGCTAAGAGGAATGGGAATAGAAACACGACTCTTGCATCGTTTCATTGCATTTTCTTGAGTTTCTGGTAAAACTTTTTATGTTGTATTCTTACACGCATACATAAAATACTCAGTGACGGCGGTGGTGTTGTAGCAAGTGGCGCACTATCACACAAGCATGGTCACGAGTTCGAATCCTGGATCCGTATTCGCTTGCGCCAACCAAGCCTTCCGCCTCTTCAGAGTCCTTTGATGGGTACCAGGCTCGTATATGAGAATAAGAATATTGATATCTGCATCGGTTTGACACCGAAAGTCATGTCGGTCATAACTGTTCTAGTACCCCCTGCGACTCTGAATGGGAGCCAGATCCTAAAGGGGATTGAGACTTCATCTTTTTATTATGACCTATTCAGGCAACAACTTTGCCTCCAAATGAAAAACTTTGTCGTGCACAAAATCTGGTTGTAGGGTGGGGTTACTATGATAGCTTTAACGAATACAACATTACCTTCGAGAAAGAGCTATGCGAGAACATCTGAATGGCAACTTTTGACAAACTCAGCATGACAATGAATAAAAGAGTGTTGCACCAGCTCGAACAGGCATTTGTCTTAGCAAATAGAGAAGCAATATGTGTGAAATTTACATAAACTTGCCTTGTGAGAAAATTACGGTAGAGTGAATTCGAAACTATAAGTATGAGCATGTTATTGGCACATAATAAATTGGCGAAATTATCAATCAATTGAAATCTGGCTCTATGGGCAAACCTAGGGCACTAAACTTCGTGCTTCCGACAAGATAAGGTGAGCCATAAAAGCATGTCGACACTGTTACCGTAGAGAGTCGAGATAATCACACGAGAATCGCTTCTGCCCAAGCATATTGTTCAGGAACTTCGGTTCGAGCTCAATTCCTCTACTTATATTTATCTTATGAAGACTTTCCGACATTTCTAATCTATTTTCTGACATTCTCCCCTAGGATGAAACTGTGGTCTCCACGAGCGTACATGGGACGTTGTCTGGCCGAAAAACGGCCCATACAGGTCTTCAAAACCAGTTTGGCCGACGTACATACACACCAAAGTGGACGTGTTATGTCGGCCTTGTTGAGGCTGTACCATTTGTACAGTGGAGCGTCAGAGCGCACCGAATACTGAGAAGTATAGGACGCGCCGTTCGACGCTTGCTGAAACCCTGCCAATAGGGGTATTTTCAGAATCATGTGGGACTTTTAGAAAGCTTGGGATCTGTACAAGAATCCATTTAGGTCATTCGATTGACCGTTCGCCCGAACAGTCGGTACAAAAGTTTCTGCGCATCGACCCCACTATAGAGAATCTGCTCAGAGAAGGTTTCAGGAGCCGCGACATTGCGAAACGACTCGGTGTTCCCTCTCCAACCGTAGGGNGACTCGGTGTTCCCTCTCCAACCGTAGGGAATTTTGCCGCTGCTCTCAGGAATCGAGGACGAGCCTCTGCGATGCCAAAAAGGGGACGACCGTGAACAGTGAACACACCGAGGATTTGTGACACCACCAGGAAGAGGATCACCCGCAACCATGGAGTCAACATGAATCGGATTGCTTCTAACCTCAACACCAGCCGTCAAACCATCCAGAAAATTGCGAAACGCGACCTCAAGCTGAACAATTATTGGCTCCGTCGAGGACAGTTTTTTCAGAGCAGTCCAAGCAAAGTCGGCTGATAAAATGCAAAAAGCATTTTCGAGAGCTCAGTGCGCCGCATCTCTGACGTGATCTGGACCGAAGGGAAAATGTTCACCGCAGAACACTATCCAATCCGTCAAAACCCGAGAAAGTGCACAGCAGGCTATCTTCCAAAAGTGTTATGGTTTGGACCGGGGTGACATCAGAAAGCAAAATGCCTTTGGACTTCATCGACAGAAATGTGAAAATCAACCCTGAGGTCCATTAAAAGGTAGATTTGATGGACGCTCTGCTATCTCGGGTCACTGAACCCTTTCGTAACCGATCATTCGCCCATCAGCAAGATTGGGCCTCTCCTCATGCCTCAGAGTCGACAAAAGCCATACTGGACGCGCACTTCCCCGCTTACTGAGGTGAAGGCATCTGGCCTTCCTCTCTGCCAGATCTCAATTCAATGGACTTCTCTGTATGGGGGTACTTGGAGAGCGAAATCGCAGGAACGCTCCTACCGCACGTTTGACCCTCAGAAGTTGGCGCTTCAGAAGGCGTGGGATGATATCGACGTCGACTACCTGCGGCGTACGGTCGATTCAGTCATCGAGAGTCTGAAGGCCAGTGTAAGAGCAAAAGGATCGAACTTTGGACACCTGCTGTCCTAATTATAGTTCTACTCTATTCCTAATTAAGTTTATTTTTCGCTCTGGTCTCTATCTTTGAAGTTACGCTTACAAATGTGCGTCCTATACTTTTCAGCCACCCTGTAGTTCGCTGATGTGGAAGACCCAGACAATTACAGAGAGCAATCTCGTACAAGCTCCTTACGAGATCGCCGTCTGACCAGAATGGGTACCTCCCTCATGAGCTTTGCTACTTCTTTGAAGCCTTACATTTCTCAAAATCCGTCGATTTTCGAGCATTCTTCATCGCCTTTGCACTACTATCCACATGGTCCCCATTATTTCACTAAAACTGGATTCTTCAGGATTGTCGTGAACTGTGCCTTCAAGCTAAAAATGTCCAAACTGTCTTCCACTGTCGCCGTGAGTAACTGCGAGTTATTTGAATTTCCAACCTAGGTGTACCTTGTGAATGGTATGGGCCTTACGATTAGAAATCGTCTGCTTTCGAGTGTGGCATGAAGTCGCAATCTTTGGGCCTTTATAGCGCTCTTTCCAAGCCGTTGTCTGACTGACAATCCTATGCGTAAGACGGGGATACAGGTTCATCCTAGGAAAATATGTCTGAAACCAACCATCGTGAACTGTGCTCTTAAGCATGCAGAGGTCTCCTCATTGCAATGATTATCATATTCGCTTCCGCCTGCCTTCTCCTCCTAGCCTGGTCACGGTTGCTGTAGTGAAGCCCACGACTTCTTAACATCTGGGCTGTCACTACACCGCGCACATACTATTCGACGCGCATCGCCGTCACCATCGATTGCGCCGTCGTCATCGATTGCCACGTGGCATTGGGCGTGGCGCCGAGTGTGCACTCAACACCTTGTCATTCAGTGCCATGTCAACGCGCCGAGCGGTTGCTTTTCCATTTCGTGTGTCGTGTTCTCGCTTTACCATCGTTATCGTGTAACCTCGACTCAAAGGGATCGGAGCACTCAGAAGAACGCACTGCCGAGAGAGATGACATAAAAGAGGCTCCAAGGTGCGAGCAGGAGGATGGAAAGTAAAGAGCTGCCAGCCGTCGCCGGACGGCTGAGGTCACCAGCAGCTCGGGGGTATTGGGAGCACCATGGAGCCTCGGGTCAGCGAAGGAACTCGGGGCCGCGGAGAGGAGCGGTCCGTGCATGACACACGTCTGCGGACACCGCGTCGCTCTCCTTCCCCGAGGGACGAGAGTGCCGACGACCCCTAATGAGGTAGGAGCTTGACCCTTAAGTCACTTTTTGCATTTACGTGTCGTGTGAAGATAAATGTGATAACCGTTTGTGTATGTCGTATTTCGTGATAGCCGTTAGAACGGGCGAGTGTTTAGTGTCGCAT